GATGCACCAGAGAATTAATACTCCCTAGGAGCAGCTCTCGACCAGTGAGAATGGGAGTTGGTGTATAAATCGATGATGGTATATAAATACCTCAACTCCCTTGCCCCTTGAGTAGGACAACCCTAAGACACAGGTTCTCTACTGACACCCAGATTGCTACAGTGGATCAATCTGCAGTTGACCTCAGCGGCCACTTGCTTAATAGCAAACCCTTTGCTAGCTGCCTCCTTTCTTTGCCTCACTTTCCCACTCACCTTCTGGGGTTTCCTGGAATCATCTCCCAGATAATTTCAGAGGGCACCTTTTTTCTCACTGGTCTTGTGGAAGGATGGGGGCTGCCTTTTTCTCATTGGTCTCTCCAATGAGAAAATGTCTGTTTCTAATTGCCCCCACCCCCGTAGATGTGCTTTTTTTTAAGCCCATGATCAGGGAGACCCTGCAAATCTACATATGAGATTTTCTGGTTCCCAGATATATTTGGTCTCACTTCACAGCCATCCTCAAAATCCAGCAGTGAGCCTTCCCAAAGTACTATGTTTCTGCATGCATGTTGTTTGATACTAGAAATATCCTAGCATTATCATTTGAAAACTCCATTATTAGGACAGTGAATTAAGTTGCACATTGCTATTTCCTTTCTGAAACTGGTACACTCAACCCCACAGCTTCTAAAATGTGGTAGATCAATACTACATTCCGACCAAGTGAACCATTTGCTATCTCCAAGGACAGCGCAGCAAATTTTAAAAATCACAAAATCCATTTTATTCTTGACTTCCAGTATATAATTGGGAATATTTCAGGGGAAAAAAAAAATCCATGAATCAGTTTTGCTCTTTTAACCTTGTAGGATCTTGTAAGAATTTAGGCATTCAAAAAATGAGCAACTATACACCAAAGGCTTAGAGTTCCTTGGTAATGGTACTTGTTGTGAATTAGCACTTATTCATGGGAAGGTTGAAGTCTACAGCTTGTTAACACTTTAGTTGGAGAAAAGGTGTTAATGAAAGTAGTATTTGCATTTATTTCTCATCAAGGCTAAATGAAACTGGGTAGAAGAGTCAGATCAAGTTCATCTTCTGGGGGAAAAAACAATTCAAAGCACACACTTTCTTAACAGAGAGACAGTCACATAAGAATAGCAGCTGAGGGCTTCCCTGGTGGCGCAGTGGTTGAGAATCTGCCTGCTAATGCAGGGGACACGGGTTCGAGCCCTGGTCTGGGAGGATCCCACATGCCGCAGAGCAACTAGGCCCATGAGCCACAACTACTGAGCCTGCGCGTCTGGAGCCTGTGCTCCACAACAAGAGAGGCCGCGATAGGGAGAGGCCCGCGTACCGCGATGAAGAGTGGCCCCCGCTCGCCGCAGCTAGAGAAAGCCCTCGCACAGAAACGAAGGCCCAACACAGCAAATAAATAAATAAACTCCTACCTCCAACATCTAAAAAAAAAAAAGAAAGAATAACAGCTGCTATTATTATTAATCCTCATTATTTTAACTTGAGTCTTTGGGTCAGGGCACCTATGCAAAAGAGTTTTTGTGGGCCTGGGCATCTGGGAGCCATGTACAGCTACACAATGCAGTCATGGCGCTTTGCACAGGCTGCCGTTCTCTGATGGTAGGACCAGTGTCAACTCCCTCTGGAGAGTTGATGCCTCTCTGAGGGTCCATGAGAAGGCTGGCAATTCGGATGTGTGTCTCAGGGTAACATTTATTCCAATTCTTCCCCCTTTTAATCAGTTCAAAGGCAGACCCGTTTCAGCGCTGATGGGCCAGCACCATCCGTAGGGAGCATTCATGATCTCTTTTCTGCTCGTTTAAGGGACTTAGGAATGCCTGGTAGACAGTCTCTTACTGGAACCAATGAGACCCATATAAAGCTTAAGGGATGTGGACAAACCTGTTCTTGGCTTTCATAAACTTTCTTCCTCTGGTGTTCTGGACAGCCCCATAACCTGTCCATGGAAAGGGCTGCTTCAGAAAATTGCACTTTTTATGGTGGCAATTCAGTCTCGCATCTGAGTCCTTGACGGTAAAAGGTATTTAAATTTAAAAGCGTATTTTGATATAAAGTCTATGGAAACCCGCTCCCTCCCAGTTATTTGGATACTCTCGCCAAGCAGAGAGTATGGCTGCTTCATGCCTATTTCGTTTTCCCATTCAATCCATTTTCACTGAAAAGGAGACATAAGCAGGGAAGCCAATATAGTTTTATTGGATCCAATGCACTGCCACTAAAACAAATATATGTACACTCAGGCCAATACACTTTTATTAAAACAAACAGAATTTAATTCAAACCAGCATTCAATACATTTTCTCAAAGCAATGAAATTAAGCTCTACCAGTACTTCTGCTCAATATGTTTTCCCAATCAAATCCATGTGAACAAAGTGAAATATACTTATCATAGATAACACAGTTTTATTAAAAAACAAATTCACTGAAACTGAGTTTCCCTTTGAACTGATAGATAAAAATTCTAACCAATTGTACAATTAGATCATAGAACAGACGTATTTTTACTTTAGCAAAAAGCATTTCTATTCAAGCCCACTTTAAAACACGCTAATGGATAATAAAAGTTGCTCCAACAATGTCTTTAATGGAGTATTTTCTCAAAAGTATGTCCTTTGGGGTTGAAGTACAATCTAGAAAATAAAAAACACTTAGGGAAAAAGAACAGTGCTGGGAATACGATTACAATAAATTCAGACTTGTAATGATTAAATACTTAAGTCTACCCGTGTATACTTAGCGTGAAGGTTTTGGACATGTATGAACACACAGACATGCTTGGGGACATTCTGTAGCTGTGCTATTATACCCCATTACCCAGAAAAAATCTTCCTTATCAGTGTTCAAACACATAAATTCTCATCTGTCTGAGGTCCACTAGGGATTCTCATGCTTAGGGCTAACCTGATGGAATGGGGAGTTGGGTATTCGTATGGCTCTTTGGAGGAGATTTCAATGTTGGTGCTTAGATCACAAAACACCTTTGAGTCTTCTGAAGAACCGTGGAGAGGCAGAACTACTTCCAAATACCACGCACCTTTTGCAGAGTAACAAACTCACTTACTACATACAAGCAAGAGTATCCACATGCATTCCACCTCTACCCAGGGCCACCATGCTCCTGCCATGTGCAAACTCTCAGGTAGAGGAGAACATCTGGAGAAATTAGAATCCTCCCCATCAGGGAACATTAGGGCTCTAATCCATGGCCAGCGTGAACTCCACCCTGTCTGCCTCTGCAGTGATCCCACCCTCTGTCTTCTCTGCCTCTATCCTACCCAGAGGCTGCAGGTCGTAGGGATCGAACAGAATTCTACTCCCTTCATGAAGCAGCCCAGAAGATACTCTCTAAATCAAGACTGTGGGTTCCCTTCACTGTTTCCTCTTCCTGTCTAGAAAAGTGCAAAACGTACAGATTGTGCCCACAAGTCATTGGGCAAATAATTCATTGACCTCTAGAGCACCCTGGCCTTGAATGAACTAGACCCACCATCCCTGAAACACATCTAGTCACAGAGGACCCCTTGAGAACAGTTAGCCCCAGATGTTCACGACAGAATTGTTTATAAAGGTGAGATGTTAGAAACTTGAATAATTAGCATGGAGGGGCCTGGTTAAATGTATTGTAATGCCATCTTCCTAATGTATTCTATAGTATTAATACCAACACAGTATTGCAAGCATTCAAGGTGATATTGTGGAGAGATTTATTAAATGGGAAATGTTCATGGTATATGATTAAATGAAAAAATGTTTAACGAAATATTATATATAGTAATTTCTTATTTTTGTAAAGTAGACATGCATTCCTTTGCATAGATGGACAGACGACACTAAAATGTTAATAGTGGTTAACTGAGTGGAGGGGTTATAAATTTCTCTTTTTTTAATCTGTAATTGACAAATTTCCTACAATAAGCATATATCACTTTTGATATAAGAAAAATTTACTTTAAAAGTGATTTTTAAAACTTTTTATTTATTTTTGTCTGTACTGGGTCTTCATTGCTGCACACGGGCTTTCTCTAGTTGCAGCGAGTGGGGGCTACTCTTCGTTGCAAGTGCGGGCTTCTCCTTATGGTGCCTTCTCTTGTTGCGGAGCATGGGCCCTAGAGCTCGTGGGCTTCAGTAGTTGTGGCATGTGGGCTCAGTAGTTGTGGCTCGCGGGCTGTAGAGCACAGGCTCAGTAGTTGTGGCGCACGGGCTTAGTTGCTCCACAGCATGTGGGATCCTTCCGGACCAGGGATTGAACCCATGTACCCTGCATTGGCAGGCGGATTCTTAACCACTGCGCCACCAGGGAAGTCCCTAAAAGTGATTATTTTTTAAGGGATGTTGTTAAGTCCAATCTAAAATGTAGTGGCCAAATATTGGGTGTGCCTCTGTCATCTTAACTCTGCTATCTTTTCAGAAAGGGTCCATGTCACATTTTTTGTCTTTGTGCGCGATTCTATTTGAAGGCTTTGTTCAACTGGTCATCCAACATACACTTATACAAGAACCCAGGTAATAAATTCCTCCTTGAGTTTGTTCCAGGAAGCAGTGGCTCAGCAAAAAAAAAAAAAAAAAAAAAAGATGTGCCCACTTTATTTTGTTAGATGAAATGAACTATGTCACCCCAGATTTTCCTTTTTGCTTTAGCTCAGAGCCATGCCTAGGTGTTCCAATGATCTCATTTCAGATGTCTGGGAACATCTAATGCCTCTGCTCCTCTTCAGCAATTTCAGTTCTACTTTCTTCTTTGTTTTTTTTGTTTGTTTGTTTGTTTTTTTACTGTGTTTACTTGTAAAAGAGATTCAGATTTATTTTGGAAATCTTTTGATTTGAATTACAAAAAAAATTACAAAAAAAATCCTATAGAAGCAAATCCTAAACAAATATAAATATTTGACCATGATTATGCAAAGAAAGCTCCTGTTGCTTTCTCGATGTCCATAGAGACATCATGCTGGGTGAGTGACACCTGAGGAGGAACCCTCAGGAGCTTGGGACTCATCTCATTCCTCTTGCTCAGGTGCATGGTCCTCTAGCCTCTGCTTGGCACTGATAGGGACAGGTCAGCTTCCCTGCCTGGAGGAGCAGCTGGGGTGTCCCCCTGTGGCCTGAAGGCATTGGACGGTGAGCCCAGGAATGCAAGGCATCCCCTTTCCTTCACTGGGATGCTCTGTGCGCCCTTCGGAGGAAGATTTGCTCTTCTGGGCTGCTTCACGCACATGGTTCAGCCCCTTCAGTTCAACTGGGTCCCTATTCGATATTTTTCTGTGACCCACTGTGAAGATGGAGGATGGGGACGAGAAGGAAGAAGGAGAGAGGGATGGTTTGGTGGTTGGTGGTAAAGAAAGATACAGACAGACAGACAGACAGAGAACAGAAGAGACAACACAGAGTACACAGAACATGTTTAATTAATACCGACATTTATCCTGCTGCAGTTGAAACCCAGGTGGAATAATTGCTGTTCATTGTATTGTTTTAGATGAAAATGGTAGAAATAAATGTAACTGTCAAAATTGTAAACCTTCCCATCTTCATTAAAAATAGAGTTAAGAAATGAAAAGCTGTAGGCAGGGAGACAAGAGTGTTCCGAGACTTCATTTTTTCCCCCAAGGCAACATTCCTGACGAAGCTTGGCATTCAGGCGTCCTGTTTTCTGTCTTGCTACTAACAGTTACTTCATTTTCTCCTCCCTTGGAAAGGGTCACCCAGAGCCCCACGCCCCACCCCCAGCCTCTCCCAGCCTGTACTTCTTCCGAGACCAGTTATCCTCCCTCACTGGCCTTCAAAGCATCCTACTCACCAGTACTTCCTTCCGGTCCTGAGAAAATGCCTTCTCCAGAAGCTGTCCATGCATTAACCAATCTAAACCTCTTAATGACCCTTTGAGAGGGACCTCTTATCCTCATTTCACAGCAGTGGAAATTGAGCTTCAGAGAAGTTGAATAACTGACCCCAGGTCACACAGCTCGTGCAAGGACTGAGTGACAGGGCTAAGATTCAGAGCATCAGCTGACTCCAGAGCAGGCGATCTGCCCTACCCCTCACTGCTTTCCCAGGAAGTCGTAGGGATCGCCTGGCTCCATGTGCACCTGGTGCAGAAGAGGAAACAGAAGCCCAGAGAGGTGAAGTGGCTTGCTCAAGGTCACCCTGACCCTGCCAGTTAGCCTGGGGCTCTGCACGCTACCATACTGCATAGCTCATTATATTCGAACTCTTTAGCTAATACATTCAGATGCTCAAAACCTGCCACTAAAATTACTGCCAGCATTTTCTAAGAGAAAGCAGCTTAGTTCCAACCTCTTTCTCCATCATTTTTCTTTTAATAAATAGCACAGCTGTGGTTTTATTCCAACTCCTTTCATTTCCTCTCCCTGCCCTCAAGTGGCGGTGTCAACGTGTGACCACGTGGCTCCAGATGGGCCAGCGGGAGAAGGAAAATTCTTGGAAAAGACAGGAAGAGGATTAGCTCTCTCTCTCTCCATTCATTTCCAACCCATGTCCTTCCTGTGTCCCTGGAATCCAACCTCAGTCTGTGGGCTTGGGAAGTGACTGAAGCCAACGGCTGGTCTGTGAGGGAAAGAGGAGGCAGATACACCAGGGAGCTGAGAAGTACATGGAAATCACACCCTGACCTGCCCAGGTGCAGGGAGCAGGTAGGCCAAGCCCCAGCCTGCCGATGCTTCTCCTTGCGCAGGAGAGAGCCAATCGCTGGTTTCTGTAAGATTCATAGACCTTATCAAGAAAATACATTTACTATTTGTTGAAACATGGAGGTTTGACTGTTGATGGAGACACATAGGGTGGTAGAAAGAGCACGAACTTGAGAATCAGACGGATTTTGCTCAGAGTTAGAACTAAGCTACCGACTAACCACTCGGCTAGGGGTCTTGAGGAAGTTATTTATCCTCTCTGAACCTCAGCTTTCTCATCTGTAAAATGGGATACTAGCGCACAGTGGGTGCTCAAATATGTATTTAATGAACTGATTTTAGAGTACTCAAAATCATTTGGATTACTGTTTTAAAATAAGAATAACCCAATTCCTGTCCATCTGGAATCCTATCCAGCGTGTAGTTTCAAAGGCAGCAAAGATCTTAATGGCTGAACATCACTGAGGTCCTCCAGAAATTTATTACGTATCGGAGAGCTTATGTTGACGGTATTCTGGAGGCAACGCACGATGCACAGAGTTAGCCCTCTCTATGTTGTTCAAGGTGTTAGAACGACTTAAATTTGCAGGACCACTCACTTATGAGTAATGTATGCGTGAATGTACACACACACACACACACACACACACACACACACGTCTGCACTCGCTCACACACAGGACCGCAGAACTCACTAACAGGCAGGAGTAGAGTAGCAAATCATTATATTCAACTATCGTGAGCTCCTGCAGAGCTCAAGAATGCAAGTGAGTTTCCCCCCTAATATCCCAACAGGCTAGAGTATTCCCGAGCTTTAAAATAACGTATTTTTTAATCCAAACACTAGCAGACATTTTCCCAAAATTCAGAAGCGTTTTGTCAAGAAGGAAAAGGAACTAACTAAACAGAAGATGAGTGGCATTTCTCAGCTATTTCATCACATCGCAACTTCAACAAAACCAAGCCCGTCCTTGCCTCATCCATGACAGCTCTGCGAGCAGAATGAGTGGATTGGGGCAGATATCAGTTTTAAATGCCTCCTAATATCATTTGGGCAAATTAGCTTATGTGGCTGGACATTGGATTCCAGCCACAGAGAATGTTCTTTTCCTGTCAGAAGCTCTGATAACCCAATGCCAGAGTGAAATATCAGTAACCTCTTAACAATTTTTCTTGATTTCTTTAAGAGTGAACATGAGACATGTTAAGAACAACAACCCAATCATTAAACCCCATGCGGTTCTCCTAGGAGCCAGCTCTATTGCTTTAATCAGATTATGGACAACTCATTCTCAGCCCCGCCATTCATCTTCTTTGTTTATATACACAGCAAGTGGCATTCTTCTTAACATCAAAAAATAGTAATCAAAACTGAGAACCACAAAAGACCTTTCACTATGTACGGAGTTAAGTAACATCTATTTGCTTTCAGTAGTTTCTAAACAACAAGTACACTGGTTCTGATTAAACCTGGCATGTGTTAATTACATCCGCGGTCCGGGGTTGTTTTGTCTGCGATAGAGGATGACTTAAGAATGAAGCCAGAGCTGAAATTTGAGGCTCCCAGGCCTCAGGAGCCACCTGCCTCCATGCGCTTCCTCAGTGAAAGTTTCCAGCCTCAGAATGGCAGCAACGGATGTGAGCGTGTCACAGAAAGTTACGTTTTGGGGGGGGGGGGGGTTTGTTTTGGTTTTAAGCCCTCGGCTTTATCACCCGTTTTATGGGCTGGAGTTAAATGGCAGTACAAGGCAGTTTGCTCTCTTACTGCTCAGCACTAACAGTCATCATGAGCCATAATTAGAAGTAAAACCACCACATAAATAACACGGCAGAAAAATTGTCACCAGGTCGAGCCAGACTGTGGCTATGGGAAACTTCAGTGGGTCCTGGGTACTTAAGGGGCATCGTGTGTTTTAGCCCATATTTGCCTTACTAAAGCCAAAATGGGAGCTGTTCAGACTTTCGAAACAGCTCTTGAAAATAGACAATGCCAGTTTAAACAGACTGTCTGCTGCTTAGTGTGATGTAGAAACCCTTTGCCTGGAGGCCAGGACAGCTGCAAGGGCTGAGAGGGAGAGGATGGGAGCCAGAGGCGAGGAAGGGTAAAGAAGTGGCTGGCAAGAAAGAAGCGCATGGACTTCCCCCATCAAGGAGGTCTGGATAGATTTCACGACCGCCCATCCTTGAGCCGGGAAGGTCACACTTCCACTGGGGGAACCAGTGAAGTTGGGTGGCCTCACAGAGGTTGCTTCTGTGACATACTCAGTGATGAAGTGGGAGCAGGCAGACTAACATTTCTGAGCATTTTACATCAATTTTCATTAATTCTCATAACAGCTTTAAGAAGTCAGAGAAAATAAATTGAGTCCTGCCCTGGGACAGGGCCCTGAGGAAACGGGACCAACGGCCCACTTTCTGCCTTTGGCCTGCCCATGTGCAAAGAGGCAGCAGATAGGAATTAACATGAGGGCGCCATACAAATAATCAGAAGCATTTCCTTTTTTCCTGATTTAGCCTCCCTCACGCAGGGGTTAGGAAACAAACCAAATGCAGTAAGCCTGGAATGGAAGGAACATGGTAGACAGTAGTTTTCAATTTTGAATCACTTAAAAAACTGATTTAAGTACATCCACTTGCTTTTAAAAAATAAGTCATATGTATTTTTCTATGGTTCAGCCAGAATAGTTAAGGTCGAATCTTCATATGGAATGAAAGAGAACATTCCTCTGAATGATCTGAAAGCCCACATGTGTTCTCTAAAAAAGGATGGTTTGCTTTCTCCTTTTCTTTCTCCTTTTGCAAAATCAAACAAATAAAAACAAAACAAAATTCATCAAAAACTCTGTGTTGAGAGTTTTTTTAAAAAAGAAACATTGCATCTGGTATTAAGCAATGCATTTAGTGGAATGGCTCTCTACATACACACGTAGGTAACACAGCTCCATTTCACATGCGGATTTTTGTCTGCATTTATATCTCTGCAGGCCACATATGGCGTGACACCGACATTTTTAAAATTAAGATATGAAGTGCTCATTTTTTTGTGGACCTGCTATATTCTAACAAATTTACTACACATCTCAGAAAACACATAGCTTTTCCAAAGTTGGTGAGCAGCCCAGTGCGGTTTACCTCCAGCCCACAGCTCTTTCCCTGAATTCAATACTGCAGGCACAATTTAATGCAAACTCAATTTATGACTTAATGCTCTAGGGACCATAGTGAGAGATTGTTACATTATTCTTTTCTAATCCTATTTGTGTTTTAATTTGCTAAGTCTGTAATGAGGTGCATGCCTTGAATAGATTCAAGATCTTTCACATAGCTTTTGACTTTGTTTAATATAATAGATTTTACAGTTTGCATTAAATACCCAGGTGCTACGGTCAGTATTATCTCTTTATTTTCTCAACTAGCGTGAATAAAATTACACCGGGAAAGTAATTGTATACATGTTTCCTTGTTTATTGTAATGGTTTATTTCCTATTATAACTCTTGGTTCAAATTACATCTAGTTCTCCAAAAGTCAATTCTCCATGGACTCTTACTACCCCCTTTCCATACAACTGTTCATCTCTGAAAAGAATGGAGACTTGGCTGACAATTGATTAGTTGAGTAATAAGAGAATAAGTTTTCTAGCCTAAGTTGCGATACTTCAGTTAAACAGAAGGGAATAAAGTGAGGAAGGCAGGGAGGGAGGAAGAAAAGGTGCTGTGTCACTGTAGACTCACTATTTTATTTCGGGTGTTCGGCTGAAACGTACCATCCCTAATCAGAACTGCTACGTCACCCAAACCCACAGTGTGTCATTTGCTGTCCATAACTGTGTTATAGCCAATTATAGCTAAATTCTCTGTTCTGTACGCACAATCAAAGGGTGTCTGGAATGCATTTTGCTATTTTCTGAATCCTATTATTACAGACATGTTTATTACATTCAGAAGATGGCTTTCTGAAATTACATTGGAATTGTACAACCCACCTGCCATTTTCAAACAAAGGAATTTAAGCATTTCTTAACAAGGAGAAAGTTCATTGAGCTCTTTCCTGGTAACTTTTCTCGTGTTATTTTCTTCCATGGCCATTTTTACAAGACTCATTGATCAAGCCTCTATTTTTGTAAAAATATCTAAGCTCTCAAGTTAAGGTTTTTGTTTGTTTGTTTGTTTGTTTTTGCGGTACGCGGGCTTCTCACTGTTGTGGCCTCTCGCGTTGCGGAGCACAGGCTCCGGACGCGCAGGCTCAGCGGCCATGGCTCACGGGCCCAGCCGCTCCGCGGCATGTGGGATCTTCCCGGACCGGGACACGAACCCGCGTCCCCTGCATCGCAGACAGACTCTCAACCACTGCGCCACCAGCGAAGCCCAAAGTTTATTTTTAAATTGATAACTACACAGCCGGTCAAAAAGGAGTTGCAAATTGGCTATTGACACCTGGGGTAGATGCTTGTGACAATTTTCACTATGAAATTTTTCTCAGACTATGTATAAAGGGATTGTAAAGCGGACCCTAAATATATCTATTCGATAGCCCTGAAATCACTCCTTTAGGTTGCCTGTCAAAAGAAAGAAATTTCAAGTTATGCCCTTAAATTTCATTTTGGGCCATTTTAAGAGGAAAGTGAGTGGTGTTAGAAAGACACATGATATCTATTTGAAAACGTAACACCTCATCATTAATTATTAAGGGAGAAGTGAAAGTGTTTCTAAACCCAGTGCTTCTCCTTTCCCTTCTACTGAAGTTTATACTCTTAAATCCCCCCGATCCAAGCTTATTTTATTACTGGTATTTGCCTCCAAGGGCCAAGGGATATTACACCTTTTTATTTGCTATTTTTACAGGACCCAACAAAGTGCTTTTAAAATATATAACCACTTAATTCAAGTCAAGCTTTTTCAATACTCCTTTCCTTCAAGCCCTTTCTAATTCGTTTTCCTCCAGCCAGGAGCCCGGAGAAGACACTGTGATTTATGTTTTCATTTATTTATTTTATTTGGGCTTTTCATTTAAGCAAAGAAACACTCCCCACAGCCCTCGATTCTGCATCATCTCACCCCACTCCACCCCTTTGTATTTGGACCATTAAGATTTTCTTAAGGCCAGACTTTGGAG